AGGGGGGTCTTTTGAAAAAAGAGATGGGGTGCCGTAGTTTGTCTATTGAAGGAATGGTTACCTGTCAATAGGAAGAGATTAAGACAGTCCAGATGAGGCCGTTTTTAAGGCTCCTGTGAGAATTTGCTGTGGATAGCTGAGGGAAAGATGCAGTTTTGTGGTGAAGCCATTTTGAGCTGAGCACTCTCAAACTTATGACAGGTTTTTTTTTCATATTTTAACGTTTTGGGGTTTTAATGCTGCTCTGTGCACCAGTCTGGATTTCTTTGTATAGTTACAGTGGTTTTCTTGCTATAGCAACTCCTGGATGATTACCCAAAATGTTTCATTGTGGGAGCAGACAATGTGGGATCCAAGCAGATGCAGCAAATCCGTATGTCCCTGCGTGGGAAGGCTGTTGTGCTGATGGGGAAGAATACTATGATGCGCAAAGCTATTCGTGGTCATCTGGAGAATAACCCTGCCTTAGAAAAGTGGGTATCGCTGTCTGCATGCACTCCTGGAACCTCTGTCTGGGAGGAGATGTCTGAGAAGCAGAACTGAAGGCTGTCATCTTTCCTTCAGGCTGCTGCCTCACATCCGTGGGAACGTGGGCTTTGTCTTCACCAAGGAGGATCTCACTGAGATCCGGGACATGCTGCTGGCTAACAAGGTAGGGGAGACCAGCCCTCACCTTGTCTCTGGGCTGGCAGATACAGGATTAAAAAAACCCCTGAATCTTCGTGGGCAATACCTGATCAGTAGGAGTCCTCAAGGGCTGGGAAGTAGGCCTCTGCAGCCTTAGCTGAGCTGCTTAAGTTCAGCTGTCTCACTTCTGTGTGCCTGGGTGCTGCCCATCCTGGAGGAATGCTTCAGTAAGGAGTTGATGCCATCCCACCAGATCTGAGAGGTGAGCGCTCTTCCAAATTCTTGTTTCTCCTTTCTCCAGGTGCCAGCTGCTGCCCGTGCCGGCGCTATTGCTCCTTGCGATGTGACTGTGCCGGCTCAGAACACTGGTCTCGGACCTGAGAAGACCTCCTTTTTCCAGGCCTTGGGTATCACCACGAAGATTTCCAGAGGGACCATTGAAATTCTGGTTAGTGAGCAGTGTGCTGCTGTTCTTGAAACTCTTCCTTGACTCGGGGGCCTCGATTGTGGCAGTTGAGGGAGCTGTAGAGATCAAAGCTCTCGTTAGTTAGTGCTGAAATACCATATCGGCAGTCTTGACTACTGCACTTTGGGAACTTGAAGGACGATGTCTGGTGTGGCTTCAGTACGCAGTGCGGCGAGATTTAAGTTTTCCATCAGATCTCAGCTGCGTGGGTGGGTGCTGCTGGAGGAGCTCAGGGGCGAGCTGCCTTTCTCCTAGCTGAGATGCCTGCTTGCGCAGTCTGGGGCTTTCTCAGCTTGTGGAGCTGAACTTGGAGCCTGTTTTTGTTGTGCCTGTTTGTTCCTTCAGTTCCCTCTCTTGCCATCAGAAGTGTGTTTGTGTCCTGTTGCATCAACATGCCTGAATTTCCTTGCGCGTATTCACTCCTTTTTCCCCTTAATTCCTCAGAGCGATGTGCAGCTCATCAAGACTGGAGACAAAGTGGGCGCCAGCGAAGCCACCCTGCT